TAGGGTCTACGGTTTAGGGTTTAGGTTTTAGGGTACCTGGAGCCTTAAAAGTATGTAAGATATTGTAAAATCATAGCCTTCAGTTTGAAGTCTTGGGCCATTATTTTTCCTAGAGTTTTGGGGGTTCATTTAGGGGTTTAGGGCTGTGGGTTCTTAGGGTTTATATAGTGTGCGCGCGCAGTCGGCGCTTCGGTTCCTGGCATATGCATAGACCAGGTGTAACAAGGGTGTGTGCACAGTGCGCGCGGTGTCAGGAGTGGGGGTTGCTCGGCCCGTATAGGGAGACTTTACCCCGGCCTCGATGCGAGCCTTGAGCGCCCGCGGCTTTTAGGTTTGCTTTGCGGGGCGTTGAAAAGGGCCCTTGTAGGGCTCCTACTTGGTGTTATACGGCCCTTACGGGCTCTTATATGGGTTTGTTGGGTGTTAGCTGGTTTTAAAGGAGGCTTTATGGCTCTTGCACTCTTCTCGGGTTGTTAACTTTTGTGTTTCGTAGGATGTCAGCTGGTTTTATGGAGAGTTTCGAGGCTCCTTATGGGGTTCTACAAGGGTTCCACCACGGTTGCCACAAGGCTTCCGTAAGAGTGTTGGACTCAGGGTTGGAGGGGTTAGGGTTTTTCGTTTTCAGGGTTTTGCATAAGTCCCGATGCAAGAAGAGTTTTGGGGACGTGTGTCGGAGTTACAGTTTGCGGGGTGCCGCCCCCTGGGAACGTTGTGGGGGTTTAGGTGTTTGCAACTTGTCTTTTTTTAGGGGAGGGGGGAGGGGTTCTAAGGCAAAAATACGGTTCTTCAGATTGCAGCAAGTGCAAACAGGAGTCGAAGGGTTGGGACACAGATTTTAGGGGTCGAAAGGTCTTGGATTCTGCTTTTGGGTTGTATGTGGTTATGTGGGTTATGTGGGCTTTAAGGGTGCAGGGGGCGCGGGTGGAGTGTCTTTGTTGTGGTTCTGTTCGGTTTTCAGTTGGGGGTATTATTGAGGCATTCTGCTTTTGTGGGCTGTTGGGGGGCGCAAGGTCTGGGACTCAGCACGAACCGTACGCTCAACAATATCGGATGCGGGCCTGTACTGCGAGGGAGAAACCCCACCCTAAGCTCTAAGCCCGAAGCCCTGTAATACTCCAAACCCAAAACTCGAGCCCGAAGCAGGTGCTTCGCGCACTCGCTCAGTGCCCAGTTGCCTCTCGGACAGCGCAAGATCGGATTTTCCATAGAGGTCTGAATATTGGTAATCTTCCCTCCCTCATATAGCTAGCTGACCATGACAAACCAGCAAGCAAACCCAGTTCTAAGTCTTAACGCTTCTATCATATCTACATATCTTTGGCAAACCCTGTAAACACCGATAAAACCCTACTCTACGACTGGACTCGTACACAGGCTTCGTAGCGAGCAGAAAGGTCTGTATAGTATAGTTGCCTCGTGAACTAACCGGTGGCATCGAATCGAACACTAAAGTCCAAATGCAAAGCCCCTAAAGCCCTGAAACCCTATAAGCATTAGATCCAAAATCCTGTCACCCTCAACTTCAAGCCACAAGTTGTTACAATTCCCAAACCGTTGGAGAAACGCATGGGCTCAAGCCCTTTCAAGAACCCTAAACCCTAAACCCCTAAACCCCTAAACCCCTAAACCCCTAAACCCCTAAACCCTAAACCCTAAACCCCTAAACCCAAACCCCAGTATGACAAGGTCCCTGGGCCGACTTCGCACTTCGCAGCCTTCGGAAGAAGATGCCCCACCCAGGGACCGCACTGGGAGCAGAGGTCAGGGAAAGGGTTGGGTTTAGTTTTAGGCTTTTAGGAGGGCTTCGGGGGAAGGGTCTGCTGATCTCTGTCTAGCATACCCAACAGTTGCCCTATCGGCGTAGGGGTACGGAGGTTTTACATAACGCTTCTCAGCCGCATTTGTTTTATGTTTTGCTATGGTGCTGTTTTCGATGGTGCTGCTAAGCAGTTGTTGCTTACCGGTACGGCGACGTGGGTTCTGCAATGTAATTCAGCGATCAGCGATTTTAAGTGTCATTTGTTTCTCTGTACATCTGGAAGCCGAAAACCTAAAGCCTACATTTAATTACGCTTAGCAGTCATCCAACCTACTTCACCTTTTGAGCTCATTTCATAGGACTCTTATCGCAACCTTCCTGAGCTCTTTATAGAGCCCTCTTTCGAACCTTCGAACTTGTAGAACCTATGTCGAAACCCCTTCCCAAACCCTCAGCCAAAATCCCTAAGCCGCCTAAGCCCCTATAGATCCCTTAAGCGAACCCCTTAAAGGAACCCCAATATATCCCTGAAAGGAACCCTTATCCCTAAACCCTAAACCCTAAGGAACCCTTAAAGGGGTTCCTTATCCCTAAACCCTAAACCCTAAACCCTAAGGAACCCTTAAAGGCAACCAAACACCCAACCTGTGAGTCTCCAGGCCGAGTCCCTGATCGCTGCCGCAACGGACCCGGACGAGCTGGCGCAGATGTATGAAGGCTCGGTGTAGGGCGTAGGATTCAGGGCTTAGGGTTTAGCGTTGAGGTTTTAGGGTTTCGGTTCCCTAAACCCTAAACCCTAAACCGTTTAGGTTTTAAGTTTTACGGGATTTCTGGCTGCACTGGCGACACTCCATTCTTCAGCATGTTCCGTGGATGTTTGCCCGTGTCTTGTGCCAGCTCCCTCAGTTCACGTTGGTTTGGATTGATGATATAATTTAGGGTTTAGGGTTTAGGCTTTAGGTTCTCAGAGTTACAGTTTGCTGGACGGCTCCGTTGAAAGGCGGCTTCTCAATGTTTTCAGATACGCACATACGCAGTATCGTGGTTGGGTTATTTCCCTGAGTATGTCACAGACACTGGCAGATGCCTTTGCGATGGCTTTCCAAGTTGTGCATGACTCCCTGTTTCGCGATGACCAAGTCATACTGATACTCAGCCTTCTTTCCGATAGTGCTGTTGCTAAAGTTGTCAATGTGAGTTTGTAGCCACGAGTGCTGCTTAAATCGCCCTTCCCCGACTAGACTGCAAGAGGCCTGGATGCAACAAAGGTTTTGGGGATTAGGGTTTGGGGTTTGGTTCAAAAAAGGGACGGCTTTTCATGAAAAGAAGGTTCGGAGGAGGGCCTGGCTTTGATAAAAAAAAGGATCGGTGTAGGGTTTGCGGAAAGTTTCAGCTTTTCGGGTAGGGGTTGGGGTTTATTATTCCGGATTGATTTTAGGGTGAAGCTCAGCTCCTCCTGCCCGGCAACTGAGCATGCCTCTGGTGCAAAGTGCCACCTAAACCTGGAACCACGGAAAGCGACTACCCCCTAAACATGTTCAGGATTGGCTAGGTGCTTTTTGGGCCAGGTCTTCGAGTGTACTTCAAACTAGGAGAGCCCTAAACCCGAAGCGTACTATCTGCACAGGCGCCCGTCAGTTTGCAAGGCTGAGTGACATTGCCCTCAGGCCCATAGCCCTAATTGCAAGGCCTGGCGCTTAAAGGTAGGGTTGCGTTCACCTCGGACGCGGGGGAGAGTTTTCTCTGTGGCCGTGCTCGCTGTAGCTGGTTATTGCAGTGCTGGCCCCCCCTTGAATGAAGGGTCCTACGATGGTCAGAAGTACTATAATTAAAAGGTGGTTAGTTACCGCCCCTCCCTCAGATTATCTTTCCCATTTAAAACAGCAATCGGCCTTCAACCGCATCTCCAATACCCCTCGCTCTCAAGACCCTTGCGCACATGTTCGCCCCTTTTTGACTCCTCCCTAAAGGGGCCGTGAGAAGCCCACGGTCTCGCAGGATGGACCTCCTGGATCTGAGGAGTTCTCAGCATCCTTCCACCTCTCCGAGCCCTTCTGAGCGGGAATTTCCCGGATTTCGCAAGGACGCGGGGCCTCAGAGCCCCCCAAAGAAGTCGGTGGTCCGGTCCTTTTAGTTAGGGGCCTTCCCGGACTTTAGGGAGCCCTGCCCTGCAAAGAGCCGGTGGAGACGCCCCGCCCTGGAGAAGGAGCCGAAGGGCCCCGAGAGCAGTTTCGGGTGCCCAGAGATCTCCGAAAGCGCCTGAGCTGTACTGTAGGGGCCTCAATAATTAGAATAAGGGTTTGGGGGGTTCCTGATTATAGTTTATAGTATGATGGGCCCCAAAACCCTATTCTAATTGTTAAGGCCCCTATAGTACTGTGGGCTGCGGCCCTCGAGGCTTAGCTTTTCATTGGCGAGCTGCCGCTGTCAGGGACTCTGGCAAGCCTGCGGAGCGGGAAACGAGTTTGGAAAACACCCTATCTTGCACAACGGTACTCCCCTTCAACCAGAAGCCCTGAACCCATTAGTTGAAAACCCTACTTCAACCTATGTAAGCCCTATACGCCCTAAACCAGAAATCCTCCCCTTGCAGACCATGTAAAACCCTAATCCTAAAACCTTATACCCCTTTTTCACAGAGCTCCGAGCCGAAAGGCGCAGCTGGGAACTGTGCTTAGTCGAAGCTTGGTCGGGTGCTTTCGGGTTCAGAGTTTAGGGTTTAGGGTTTAGGGAAGTCGGGTTATAGTCTAGGCTTTTCAGGAATTATAGTTGAAGTTTATGGCTCCACGTCGGGGTGTTTGGAGGTGTAGCTACTGGTTTTGATGAGCATCACCGTTGCTATTCTCAGTCTTCTCGCTGTGACATTTTGGTCAGAAACTTGAATTATTCTTGCTGACCCTAAAACGTAAACCCTAAACCCTAAACTAAACCCTATAAGCCCTAAAACCCCTGTGTTTTCCGCAGCTCGCCGAGACGGATTCAGGCTCCGCGGCTCGCCTTGATAGGCTTGGAAGGAGCTGGACTCGGGCCTTGTTTTGGCATTCAGGCTTTAGGATTGCTATGAGGGCTGTATTGAGTAGCCCAAATCCATAAACACCCTTAGCTGCTGCATCCCGACAGCGATTTTGATAGCTTAGACCCATCATTGGAAGAAGCCGCTCGGGTCGGCCGGATGCCTACTAAGACTAAGACCGAGCATGTCTTGGAATGGGCTGGGAGATCCGGAAATCCTACACCGTGAACCCTTGCCCGAAACCTTAAAAAATCAAGCCCAGAGGCCACATGCCCTTTACACCACCACTCGAAACTAAACCCGGAACCTCTAAAAGCCCCGAGCCCCAACCCCAAATACCCTATCGAACCCTGAACCCTGAACCCTCGATCCTCCAAAGCCCTAGGCGAGACATCGAGCCCCGAAGCGGAGATCTCGTAGCAGAGCCCTTAAAGGCAGCCCTAAGCGAGCCCGAACATAGAGGTTCATAGAAGTATGAACAGATGGCCCCTCCACAGAGCCTTTCAAGGACACCTTAAAGGAATCCTCGGCAAGAACCTTGAAAAGAACCCCAAGGCCCCCCCCCCAAAAAAAAAGCCCGAAGGAAGGTTGCCGACAGGCCCGAGGAGCCACCAGCGCCAGCAAAAAGCGGTACCGGGAAGCACATCCCATCATGCCGGGTTCGGGCTTGCGGGTTTAGGGTTCGGGTTTAGGGTTTAGAGTTTAGGTTTCGGGTTTAGGGCTTAGGGTTCGGGTTCCCATCAGGAATGATTGTTGTGTGTGTTTTCCTGCGGTGTAGGGCGTCATTATCTAGTGCTTTGGGCCTAAGGGACTTACAAGAGTTTAGGTTTAGAGGGTTCAGGGTTTGGGCTTGATTTGAGAAGGGTCCTGGAGGGATTTATGAATCCTAAACCCTAAACCCTAAACCCTAAACCCTAAAATTTATGAAGGGCTTTGACCTTGGGCTTGCAGGCTTGGGGGGTTTGCATTTATGAAGGTCAGAGCTTGGCGTTGACTACGGAGTACTTATGCCCAAACCCTAAACCCATTATGCCGTAGATTCTTTAGGGTCCCTGAGAAATTTCGTGAGACCCTTGAGATTTTGGATGGGACCTCTGGGCTCAGGGCTTGAAGACAGTAAGGCATTAAGGTTTAGGGTTTGGGGTGTTTGGGTTCAGGATTTGAAGATGATTGCTTTGGAGGATAGGGTTGCCGGGTTTTGGGGTTCCGGGAATCACTCCTCAGTTTTGGTCTGTTTTACTGTCCTTCAATTCCTCTTCTGGAGCAACATTGAGTTCTTTTCGCTTCACTTTGGCAGCCTGAAGAAAAGTCAGATACCACCCCGAAAACCTAAACCCTGAACCCTAAACCCTAAAAGCCCTAAAAACCCTAAACCCTGAAAGCCCTAAACCCTAAAAGCCGTAAGCCCTAAAAGCCCTAAACCCTAAAGCCTTAAACCGAAAACCTCGCAGAACCTTCTGAAGCTGAGCCCTGAACCCGGCAGCTGGGCACCCTGCGCCCAAATCTGCGCCGATGGAAGGACGCCGCTGCGTTGCTGGATCGCTCAGCCGAAAAAGACTTTGTTCTCCAATACCCAACCTTTAAACTTTTTGGGCTCTTATAATTTAGTAGTAATCTGAAAGTTTAACCTTTTATTTCCCTGGCTTATTGGGGAAGTAAGAAGACGGATGGGTGCAAGGCCTTGGGAGGCTTATTGTTGAATGAAGGGCCCCTTTACACTCCAGATCTTTAGAGAAATAGCCCATGACATAGACCCGTTGTTTTCTGAGCTCGCCAAACCACATATTGAACATTAGAAACTCAAGCCCTGTCGAGCCCGTGTACTTGTAAACCCCAAACAAGCCTACGAAGATCCACAAAGGCTACCAGGCTATTGAGCCAGTTTCGCTCTTCTAGCAGGAACGTCGCCCTGCCCTGCCTAGTTGTGAGGGCTCAAACTCCCATAAAACACGAATCCGTAAACCCGACCCCCTAAAGCCGGAACCCTGACCACGAAACCCTAAACCATAAGAAAACCCTCTTAGACCCAAAACCCGAAGCCCTGAACTCCAGACGACGGAAGCCAACATTTCCACCTGACTCGGCCGAGGCCAATCTTCAGTGGTCTGAGCATCTAGGTGCACTTCGCAGCATAGGTGCTGAATAATTACTAATACCTTAAGACGCTTGCTTCAGGGGTATTCATATAGCCTTTGCTGGGTTGTTTTAGGGCTGTTAGAAGGTTGGATGAGGGTCTAGTATAGGGATCAGAATAATTCCTTGCAGCTTTTCCGTGTACAGTAAACCCTAAACCCTAAACCACCTTCTGTCCTCAAGCTAAACTACACCTCAGAGCCCGTTTCTCATAATTACGGGTTTTGGAGTAGGCTTCAACTTTGGTGGCTGTCGTGGAGGGTTTTATGAAAGGGTTTCATGAGGGCTTCTGCAGTGTTCTAGGAACTTGAATACGGTGTTCGGTTCTGTTTTCGGCGTCGAAGTTTGGGTCCTTCAGGCTTCTTGAGTTTAAGACTGGGGTCTGAGTGGATGGTGGCGTTATTCCTCAGGGTGTTTAATACCGGAGTCTGAAGAACGACTAGTGGCGTTGCTCTTCAGGGTGCCTTGATAGACTTGTCGTGCAAAGCCGCCCAAGACCTCACTCTAATTATCTAGACCCTACAGTAGAACCATGCAGAACCATTATAGTAGCTAGCATGGTAACCCTTGTAGTAACACCAAAATCACCTTTCAACACGGTTCTTCGAATGAAACGAACCGTCATAGCACCCTCGAAGGGCTCTGAATTCTTGTTAAGGGAGACAGCCCTGAACACTCTCGGCGCTTGGCTCCAGAGCCGGTAATGGGGTGGGGGGGGGGGCCTTGAGAACTCGAATCAGGTATACTATGACATCTTTGAAGTATAATATTCTTATTTTGGGTATACTAGACTTATTATGGGTCTAGCTACGGGTATAATGGAATTATTTTTGAGGTGTAATGTACTAGGAGTTTGTGGGGGCTCGGGTCATATTTAAGTTGACTGAGGGGTACGCTTTTGGAGGATGCTTGTGGGTGCACAGGGTTAGTCGGGAGTTTAGCTCTGCGCCTGAGCATACTATAGGGGCCTCAATAATTACCTTTATCTAAGGGGGTTCCTTATTTATAACTATATTATAAAAGGACCCCCAAACCCCATTGTAATTATTGAGGCCCCCAAATGAGGTGTTTGACAAAAGGATCATGTTGTCGTAGTGTGGGCCATGAGAGTTGCTATAGAATCAGCAGTCTGGTTGCCCGGCAATCTCGCGTTTGGTTGTGTAGACAACAGCAAGGTCCCAACCCTGAGTAGGAATCTCCCATCCATCAATAGGATGTTAAAGCAGATGGTCGGCTTTTCCTTGAACCTCAAACCCAAAGACCAAGACCCACAAACCTGAACACCCAGGTTGTTAAGTAGCCAGAAGCCCACCGCAGTTGGATTTGAGATCGCCAAAGAACTTGCGATGGAAAAGTCTTTCAGATCTGCTCGGTCTTCGCTGGTTTATAGAAGTCGAAACAATTGCTGCTACTGTCCCTCTGGATTCGTTGTCCTTGCAAAAGCTACTTTACTCTATAGAAATCTGCATGATTACGATGACGACTCCTAACTAGCATATTAGAGCTGTACTACAACATGCCGCAAAACCCTATTCTAACTATTCCGAGCCATAGTAGCACAACTCGCCAAAGCTGCGTCGATGTACTTCAAGGGCTAGTTTTAGAGCTGAGAATTTCCATGTTCCGATGAGATCCTCTGCATTTTACAGTTTAGGGTACTATCGTGTAATATCGATAGGATAGGGGTCTGAATGACCTATCGTACTGCGGTCTGTTGGTAATTGCATCATGATATACCTCTAACCAGATTTTGAAGTCTTCAGGCCGAATCGCGCCGAGCCCTCAACCCCCAACACCCCAACGCCTGCGCTCTAAACCCTGCCAGCCCCAGAGCCCTATGATCCCTTCCTAGGCTCTGCACCCTGCTTCAAG